TGGGCATGCTGGCCAGCCAGCAGAACCAGTCAGGGCCCTCGGGGAACAACCAGCCTCAGGGCAACATGCAGAGGGAGCAGAACCAGGGCTTCAGCTCAGGCAACAACTCGTACGGAGGGTCCAACTCGGGGGCAGCCATAGGTTGGGGCTCAGCCTCCAACGCAGGCTCCAGCAGTGGGTTCAACGGAGGCTTTGGTTCCAGCATGGATTCCAAGTCTTCAGGCTGGGGAATGTAGATGCAGTGAGCTCTGATACTGACTCTATGGTGGGAAATCAAATTTTTCTAACTCATGGTAAGTATACTGTAAATGACATATATACTAAAGTTTTCCAGATCAGTTTGTTCAGTGTGCAGTATATTCAGCAGTATTTTTGACATTTTTCTTTTTTTAAGAAAAAAAAAGGAAAAAAAAACAAAGAAAAAAGAAAAGGTAAAAAAGGAATTTTCTAAGTTTTGTTACATATCTAGTTGGAACTCTGAATGTTTGGAAGTGGACTGCTGTTTGCCTGATAGGTGAACTAACACTACAGTCAATAGAAAAGGTTTCTCCTGTAATACTTTAGCCCTTGTTTTCCTGGCTACCTGAATTCTTTGCATGTTCAAAATGGAACCATTGGTCAGAAACAGCATTCTCTCCCTCTTGTTTTTAATTTGATCCCACCATAAGACTCTCCAAGTGCCCCGTTGGAGAGAACACAGTGTCCTTTCTGTTTTGTGTTTCTTTTTTAACACTGTCTCCCCTCCATACTAAAGTACGATATGAAGGCTTCATTTAATCTCCGCAGTTCATCTCATTTCAAATGTGTATGGAAGAAGCACTTCATTGAAAGCAGTGCTGTAAATATTCTGCCTTAGGAATACTTCTGTCTACATGCTTTCTCATCCAAGAATACTTCATCACACCGCACATGCTGCGTCTTAGACGGTGGGTGTTCCATTTTTATCCGCTACTCTTTATTTCATGGAGTCGTATCAACGCTGTGAACGCAAGGCTGTGAGATGGAACCAGAAGGCTGTTTGAACTTTTGAAACCTTGTGTGGGATTGGTGGTGGTGCCGAGGCATGAGAGGGCTGGTATGAGCGAGATAACAGGAGCGAGCGCATGCAGAGACCTGGTGGTGCAGTATTGGGATTTTATTTGACTTGGCGAGATGTCTCTCAGATCCTGTGGCTTTGGTGAGAGTGTGCGGAGAGCAATGATAGCAAACAAAAGTACGAGTGATTCTTGCATTCAAAGGACATCCACATGTGGAAGACTTTAAGTGGGTTCTCTACCTAGTCAATCGATTAGTTGAATGTGTTACGTGAAATGGAATATTTGTATTTTTTTTCCCTTATGTCAACTGCTGTGAATGCTGTATGGTGTGCGTTTTTTTTTTTTCTGTTAATGACCTGTAAGTGTGGTAATGTGACTTGAAGACGATGGGGTTTGTGATGACAACATTGAGCTTGTGGTGTGCTTTGCAGTAGCTCTTGTAGCAGTGATCACTAGAGCTCAGTGTGCCTCTCCAGGGTGGAAGTTCCACTGTCTGTAAGATATCCATAAGAATGCTGTTTGCTGCAGTTTCGTGTTTGGATGCTTTTTATAAGATTTGTCACTGTAGGAAATTCTTAAATAAAACTGATTTAAGTAATATGTGTCTTTGTTTTGCAGCCCTGAATGCAAAGAATTCATAGCAGTTAATTAATTTTACCCTTTTGAGATGAACTTCTGTAAAGCTTTTTGCAGTCCCTCGGTTTGTTTCAGATAAACAATGCTCTAAGTTGCCAAGGCAAAGGAGCCACCGCTCAGCACCTGACACCCAACTCTAAGCCACTGTACTCTTGCACTGTGCAGTGATTAGATCTAAAATGCAGTGCCCACACCTAGACTGGTAAGCAGCTCCCTCCACATTGATCTGTGCCCAGGAACGTTAGTTGTTCTTTCAGGAATTGAAGTTCCCCAGCAGCAGTGGGTTGGGGGAGACAGGCACTTGCTGTCACTGTGGCTTTGTGTCCACAGCATCTCCTTTGGGGATGGATGTGTTGAATTTGTTTTTAGATCAGCCCACTCATGGGAAACAGGCTCCTGCCACACTTCCAGCCCAGAAGAATGCTATGAACTCCTGTTTAAAACTAGTCACAGGAAAGATTTTCCAGCTGAATGAAGCATAAGTGAATGTACACAGACTTTAGCAGAAGTCTGAACCTGGAAAATAAGTTGATGACAGGTGCAGAGGTGTCACCTAAGAGCTTTTCAAAGCACAGGGTGTTTCAGCAGAAACTAGTGGCAGGTTAGTTCCACTGGTAGGAGCTTGAGGAATTGTTCCATGTACTTGGGCTTGAAAGCCACTGAAGCTTGACCCATGTTTTTATACACCAGAGCACTGTGCTGTGGCTGTGAACAGCCTGAATATGGATATTGACACAGTTTTTAACCTGTTTTCAAGTGAGAACTTCATTGCTGTGTATCATGCTGAGGCTTGTGGATGGCAGAGCACCTAAAGAGCAGACAGAGCTGCACCACTGCGTTTCCCACCTGCAGTGTTCAAAATTCAGCTGGGTCTCCATGTACCTCTGAGTGGTTTAAAGAGGGCTCTAAACACTCAGGCTGAAAAGTAATCCCACACTTTTCTTCATGTTCCACTGCAAAAAGTTGCTTAGATTTTTTTTTTAATGCACCTAAGTTAAAATAATCTCCAAACTCTGTACCATCTGTGAATTTTGCATTTTAGCACTTGCACTATTACCAGCTACTTCTGTTGAGTAACACTTAAAAATGGTATTCTTGGACCTCCAAAGACTAACTGTGACCCCTGCAAGGAACTTCATGGTAAGTTTTTGTAATTAGCATGGTTTAATTCTGTTTAAATTGTTCAGGCTGAGGTTTTAAGAGGCTGGTTGGCAGCGTTGAGTAGTCTTTGCTAACAATTTCAGCCTTTCTTCCTCCTCAAACAAAACCCCTGAAAATTTTAGAGTAATTTTCAAGTTATACTAGTGTTTAACTGCTTTGCATACTCTGGTGTTTATAAGTGAGTAAATAAAATGTTGTTGAAAACATGTTGAAGTGTTTGGAGTCTTTATTTGTTTCTTTGAAAGATACTTCATTTCCAGTTATATTCTAGAATAAAGTGAATTACCCAAGTGGACAAGATCATTTTTATGATCTTCATGATACTTCTGCCTGGACTTAATAGCAAAATCAGCATTTGCTCAAAGTCTCCAGTTTCATCCTCAAAACTGAGGGAGTTCTTTGATAGCTGCACTGATGTGGATGCAAAATTCAGCCACCTCCTGGTCCCCCTTGCCCTGTGGTTAACACCACTTGCCAGGGAAGCTCTCCAGGGAATCTCCCACCCCACAGCCTGCAAAGCAAGGGGAGGCAGCAGGAGCTGTTAAAATGTGAGCTCTGAACACTGAATTATTGTGCTTATATGGATTAAATTAAGTTAATGATTCTAAATGTAATTCCGAGATTGTTTTGGAATGGTAAAATTGCTTGCAAATGAATATTTGATTTACAATACAATTTTCATTAGTATTGCATCCCTTGGAAAAGTTCTGTAATCAAGAGAGACAGCACAGCTGAGGAATTTGGGCACGGAGAAGGAAGTGCATTTGTTCTGAATGTGAATTAAGGTAATTGGAATTTATGGGTATTCTAATCTAACAGATAAGAGGGACAATTATGCTATTACATTGTAAAATGTTTCTCCTAAAACTCAGCCTTGGATCTTGACTAATTTTACAGAGTAATTAATTTAGCAGATCAGGCATTAAAAACCAAATAAAATGCCCAACCTTGTGCTCTGCAGGGAGAGGATTCTCCTCCCTCCAAACACTGCTGGAGTATGGTTCAATCTTCCTGTCAGGGATAATGCCACGTAATTTAAAAGCCACAATTTAGTTATGAAACTGCATCCTGCAAGAGAACAGGAATAAAAGAGGCTCAGGTTTTTTCTCCCTGCAAGAAGTGAACTGAATTTCTGGCATTGATCTGCAGAGCTGGCTGCAATGGGAGCCTCAGGCAGGGCCCAGGCATGTTCAAATGGTAAACTATTTAACAAATCTAAGGTCAATATTAGTGGCCACACTCACACTGTGAGGTTATCGTGATGTTCCCAGTTTTGTTAGTGTTCCTCCCTGTTAAACAGCACCTGCAGCACTTCCCATTCTGGAAATCAGAGTACATAAAGGTGGTAACTGTTAAAGTGAACACTCTGGTGAAGTGGTTCTGCCTCACTACTAAGCTACTAAGAGAAAATCTAAGAGAGCCACAGGCTGTACCTGTGCAGCTCCAGCACGTGCAGGTTGCTGCAGGCTGATCCTGAGCTGGAGTTTTTCCAGTATCCATCACTGTGTTTCTTCACCTGCATCTCAGAGACAGCACAAATGAGAACCAGTGAGCAGAACAGCTGCACATTGTTTAAAGCAGCACAAAGTGGTTCTCTACAGGCATTGCAGAGGTGTCATTTGAGTCACCGCAGGCTTGTAAGAAAGTGATTGTGTCACTTCCCTCCCTCGGGCTATTCCCAGGATCCAATCCATGAAATGCCACTGATTGACTCAGGAATGGGAAGAATGTGTTAAGCTCCCAGCTGCTGAGTTAAGCCTATCTGGGTACCTTTCAGCAGCCTTAAAAATGCCAATACTTCCCACAGTCGGAGTTCCAGGTGTGTCCAGGTAAGGCAGGGACATTCCCTCTGCACACCCCAGAGCCAAGGATCACATTTCATTCCACATTTGGGCCCTACCATTACCATTTGCCTTCCCGGGGCAGAACTGGGTGTCACCTTAGCACTGAGTTTCAGCATTGCATTTCCACACACACACAACTCTCCCATTATTTGTGTGGCACATAATTCTCCCCCCAGTTACTCTGGGTTTCTGCATAAACATAAATGTGTCCAACTATCAAATAAACATGCTATAAGGTAACTTGGTCTCAGGAGGCTTTTCCAGCCTGATTGATTCTGTAATTGCTGAGGTTACCCCCAAACCACAGTCACCTAAAACTCCCAGAGCATACACAGACTGGAGTATCTTCCCAAACTCCTGCTGGGAAGCTCAGTTACT